TAATGACAACATTACAATAGCGATGTGCAACAACCCTTCTCCAAAGTCGAAGGCATAGAGTACCACATTGTAATTCAGATACCGCATGTCGTGATACAAATTCCAGTGCTCTGACAAAATATGAGGCTTGCAAAGAGGCCTTCAAAGATCCATATGAGAAATTCTATGCTACGTCTTCATTCATTGAACATCTGTAAGTTCATTCCTCTTCCGAAAAGACGTCGTCACATGTTACATCGACGCTAGCAAGAGACAAAAATATGATTGACTGACATGGACCCACTTTTTACTTCGATGTTGACAGTCAAAATAGCAGGCAATGAGACAAATGCAATCAACCTGCTACCACCATCCCCTCCTCACACTCAAGCCATCAATGCTGGCAAAGTCAGCTTCTACACGACCCCACCCAGATGCAAACCAAGAACAACGGTTTGAGCAATGTGGGAATCACTATCCAATCATATTCTCAGGGATGAAATAGCAGTGGTTGTTGTCGGGGAAAGCAACAAACAAGTTGGGAATATCTTCTCTTTCTTATTCACACTTGGCATAGTTTTAAGTTTGGCGATAAGAAGAGGAGACACGAGGAGACGACAATAATGGAAGGAGATGAGGTGGGGTAAAAATGCGGAAACAGGGGAAAATGCGTGCAACCTACGGGGATGTAGAGAGATCCCACTCCGCCACCATCGCCAACCTGGAAGTACGAAAAGCGCGGTGACAATGATGGTGATGAGAGCAATGACAACAGAGATGCTGTCCATTTACAGCAAGGAAGGTCGTTGCGCAGACGTCCAAGGATCCAGTGGAGGTGAGAGCTGCCTCATCAGTTCAGGTCGGAAATGCAAAGTTGGTGGGGTGGAATCATTCTCCACCCAGGTCGATGGTGATGGCAGTGAAGGCGTCCCAATCCTAGCAAAAGGTGTGAGTCGTCCTACTGAGAGCAAACAATTTTCCTTAGGCGGAGCTTCGCTGGAAGGGTCTAAAAGCGGGTAACATACCGAACAATAATAGCAAAAAGGCACTAAAGGCAGACATAGCACTTCCTTCAAGCACATTCCAAATTGGCAGCCACCTCTAAAAATCTAACCGTTGTCTAGAGGACGTGTCACGCTTCACAGTTGAATACACTGCAGTAATCCATGAAAGCGAGAACCACATGCACATAAAATAACTCCATGTTTCTCTCCATGTTGCAAAGTATCAAACAGTGAAAATGGCGAAATCGTGACTTGACATGTCCATCGAAGAAGATTTAGAAAGCTGAAACGAGATGAGGCATTTTCGATTCTCTTCACTTCGTCCACTACATGGGTAAACTGTACATGAACGCAATGAAGTAAATCAAACAGACGAATATACCCAGCGAAACCCATCTTTTTATCAAGTAGTTACATAACTGATAGGTAACAAAGAAGAAGATAATGCCAGAATTAGGTAGTCGTCTTGCAACTAAGACGATTGCAAAATTTTCTATTGAGGTCGAGACAAAGTAGATTATGTGTTTGGGAACCGCGGAATAATGTGCTGCTCCCATGGCGATACGCTGAATGTTTCGAAACACACCCACAAGCCTGTACGACAATGCATCTCCTACCCCGATCTAAATGAAAAGCAATATGCTATCACTTACCGCTTCTGTTGTCGACCATTGTAGCACCAGCACTCAGTGTTATCGTGAGTAATAATCAAGCTTCAAAGGGAAGTTTATAGAATTGTCATTGACACAACCTTTTCTTCCATTTTATGCACTAGCACAAATATAAACTATGGCATGGTATTGCCTGATATAACCATGACATTCTGCCATACATTGTGCTATAATTCATCCCAACCTATGGGTGGGCATCAATTCTGC